AGGATTAGTTCAACTAGAAATGTCCTACAAAACTACAACAATCTACCTTTAAAGATACCTGAAAACTGAAGAAGACTGGATGATGATCTGTGTCAAAGAACATGAAAGAAGTAAGAAATTGTATTCAGTAATAAAGGAAGCCGACAAATTCAAAAGGGAATTTTAAGTCAGTGAAGAAGTGCAAATAAACCATAATGCACCTACTGCAGAGGCAAAAAAGAAAGCAAAAAAAATGAAATGAACCAGATACAGAAACAATAAAAAGATAAACCACTTTATGGTCAATATTCGTCCCGTACCAAATAGGCTGATGTAGACAAACCCACGTGCTCATCAGTGGCTAAGTAATGCAGTGTTAAAAGTTGAAACCGAAAGTTTTATTCTTGTTTCACAGGATCAATGCTTGCTAAGCACACACACTGTAAAATTGTGTTATCCCAAATTGCAGTTTCTGTGATAAATATCCAGAAACAATCGACCATCTTGTATCTGGTTGCACGGTATTGGCACCTACTGAATATAAAACCCGGCATGATAGACTGAGCCAATATCCTCATTGAAAAATCTGCAACTTTTACGGAAATGAAACCGCGAGAAATTGGTATGAACACCACCCAGACCCAATTACAGAGATAGGACCTTTAAAAATTTTATGGGGCTTTGACACACAGACAGAACACTCAAATCGCTCAGTCACCGTGATGAATGACCAGAAAAAACAAAATGTGCATTCTTATTGACATAGCAGACCCTACAGACTATAATGTATCTTTGAAGATATTAAAAAAAAAAAAAAAACTATCAAAATACAAGGACCTTGAATACTATTGCTACAAGTACTACTACTACTAATAATAATAATAAGTGGAAATCTAAAACAATGTGGCGTATAATTTTAGTTGTAGTTGGAGCCCACGGATTGATTGAAAAAATTTCCGATAGACTCATTAACCGTGCTACCCATGCCTTAAAGAAATACAAAAAAGTCTACTCCCAAAGTACAGATTACAAATTACGAAGAGATTTATCAATGTAAAATTCGTGTGAAAAATGTCATTAAGCCATTTCCTACCTTAGATCTCTGTCTGGGCCCCAGAAAGTAATGTGTATACACCAGAAATCAAAGGAAATAATAATAATAATAATAATAATAATAATAATAATTTTGTACACTTTTCACACGCACAAAATATGTGACAAGTCGTCTGTTAACAATTTAGGTGAGAAAAACTTGCTGTCTCTTGACGCCTCTACTTTAAATTTTTGAGACAATTTAGGCAAAACAAAGCCAAAGAAAATAATAATAATAATAATAATAATAATAATAATAATAATAATACGCAACTTGCCAGATGACATCAAAAACTGTTATATAAAGACAACATCAGTTCCGGTTAGTTAGAGTAACACTGAGATCAGTCTTGGAAACATTCGAAAAAAAATGACTGGAAAAGTTGTAGGTATGCAGACGAATTTAAATTAATATTGCTCTAAGTAAGTGGAAGTAGATGTGATTAAGAATTCTGATGGCTTGAAAGTATTTTACGTGTGTCTGGTCATCCATTTATAAAATTAAAGCGGGAATTGCAACACTAATGACATATAAAGCAATTAAATTTCGGAAATTCGACATCAAACAGTGATTCGTTTCTATTTCCCTTTATTCTGGTGGAAGCTAAAGTGTCATAAAGGACATTCAATAATCTTTACGGGGTTATTTTTGTCTCTGGTGACAGGAATATTAAAATCTTGATGTTATGAATGCTCCTTATGATCGATTAATCGATCGTAAGAAGGTTGAATAAATTGATAAATACAAACAAGTTCATTATACTATTACAATTGTGCTTGGCTCTCCCTTTGTAAAGTTCGCCTGGTCGTTATGTCCTGCCAATACCTTAGAAATAATGGACTATTCCGATTTGATCGCATTGAAAGAGGGAAAAAGACACGACTTGGTTTCAGTGAGAAAATAAAAGAATAAAGGGAATATCGAAGCGTTTAACAACTCCTGTCACTACTTCATAAATAATGGACTATTCCGTTTTGATCGCATGGAAAGCGGGAAAAAGACACTATTTGGTTTCAGAGAGAAAATGTAAGAAAGAATAAAAGAAGGGAAAATAGCAGTTTATAATGACTGTTTAAGTGAAATAGAGAATGTTGTCAATTTCAAATCTTTTCATTTGTACCCACTTTTTAAAAAATATCAGCATTCATATTTATCGTTGTTATTGCAATATTTTGCTAATATTCTGAAGCTTAAATATTTAACGCTGTGTTAGGGAAATTTTTACTATTTTATTGTCGTAGAAATCGCCATGAGCTTACTCAGTCATTAACTTAAGACTTAAGTTTCATCAGAAAATTCAAGCAGGAAAACCGTGAATTTTCACGGCTTAAATCTAGTTATTATTATTATTATTATTATTATTATATTATTATTATTATTATTGACACTTCTGCTCACCCAATACAAGACCCAAGAGCCATTCAAGTAGGTTACTGAATAGAAGAAAATATAAGAAGTGCAGTTTATACGATTAACCGTTATGTTGAAGTCGACTTGAAGTAATTAAAATTTTAGCGAACAGAAAAACATCCTATTGAGAGTTATTCCACAAAATATCTTGTGTAGACAAGAAAGCATCCAAGTGGAGCTTCCTCCTTACTAATGCAATACGAAGATAATGAACATGATTGGTCATTGTATGGCAGGTCTTAGGCGGCCGATGTCAGGACTGGTGGAAATAAGAAATGTAGCTCGTCAAAATAGAGGCTTGAGAGGTTCGTCTCTGAAAAAGCGATTATGGGATAGGAGGTGATATATCATTCACTAGTCCGAGTAGACATTCTTGAACTCTGTCCAGACAGGCGGATGAGGCCTGAGAAGCTCCCGTCGAGCTGTGGCAGTCATACTCAATTTTTAGTCTGGATTGTGAGGTCATGGCCCCAGGAAAGACTGATTTGGGTTATAACAGCTTTAATAGTCAAGATTCATATTTTTCTGGGCATTTAGTTATAGGAATAAAGGTTGTCGAACAGCTAACACAGTCATTATTCCAGTGCTGGGCATAATGGTAAAGGAATATTTCTTTAGCATTTAAGATGTCTGGAGATAGGACACTCTGCAGATAAATGGAATTTACATTTAGATATATATCCTGAGGCGATTAACGTTACACTACCCTACTCTGTGTATGTAGATTTTAGTATTTAGTTTAGCCGCAGTCTGTGTGCGAGAGAGGTCTACGTGGTTTGTTTGAAATTAACTTGTTGGTTTGCCGGGGTTGTTGGTTTGACGGGGTTGTTGGTTTGCCGGGGTTGTTGGTTCCAATCTTTGTTGGAATGTTTATTTAGAACATTTTTACAATGTTAGTGTGGCACAAGGCTGACGGGCAAGTGGGAAGAGACTGGTTAACACTGTCTACCCTACACCCAAATAAGCCGATTAACGTCTCATTCACTTTTACAATTTCCTCATTCACCACAAGAACCGATCCTTCTCCACCCGACTCAACATATACCACAATATCGCTTATTGGCAAAGATCTTCCAAAAAAACCTATAATGTAAAATTTTAAAATAATATCTTTGTTGGATTGACTGCAAAACACCCCCACTCACAAAATTTATAAATATACAGACAAACGGGATTACTTACTAGCCAGTAAGATAGGCCACTTCTGGGGTTCATCTGATATATTGTAGTTCTTGTCTTGATGATCAGAATGCTGTGATGGGTTTTCTGTAGCCATTTTGTGTGTTAACACCATTCTTAGTTTGTGAATGTTTTGCTGTATTACTGTTGCCTTGCATCATAATATTTTTGCACTGTTTTTTTTCTTTCTCTTGTTATTGTATTTTGCAAATATTATCAATTCTGTTTGACAATTCTGAAAATTACATTTAACCATGGCCATTTAATATACAGCCGAGACAATTTCAGTGTTTTCACTAAACCTCGGAGTAAAAAGCAACAAAAGAGTCCATGTCAGTTCCTTTTATACTCCTGAACAGAATGGTTTCTCGCTTCAGACAAGGTGAGCTAAGTTCAACTTTGCAGATTTTATTTAAAATAGTGATGTTTTCTTTTTTACACTCTGGCATTGGATGGGGGAAATAGCCATAAAGATGAGGAAAAATCTAGGGTCAGCTGAAATGTGGTTCTACAGAAGGATACTGAAAATTCTATGGATGGAACCAGTAAGCAAAAAGGAAGTCTTAAAAATATCAGGAGAAAAAAATCACTGATACTCAGAATCTGGAAAAGACATCTGAAATGAGGACGGAGGTCTTGGAAAATTTACTTTTTGCATATTGAGTTCAAGAGAGACCTGGGAGGACGACGAGTTACTTACCTATGGATTTTGTGAGAATGGATGTCAGAACTGGAGGCGGAACCTTAGCAAGAGGAGAAAAACTGCTAAGAGCCACATGAGATATCCTTCAGGATTTTCTATCTCGCGCAAGTGCATTTTTCGTTCAGATACTTATTTGTTTCGGTTGATTGGTACTACCTCCCCCCAAAAAATTGCACGGAGAGATCAAAACAAAAATAAAAGTATATTGTGAAAATGTAAAAATCAATGATATTAAAAATGTATATATATACTCAGGATTCTGCACCATGCCACACAAGTAGAAGAAGACCCTGTCATGGTTGTCAGACAATTTTTGCCACCACATAAGCATATCACCCCTTCAATTTACTTGATTATTATGTGTAGGCCGCAGTTAAGCGTGAGGCTAAGAAACGTCCTTGTAACACTAAAGATGAATTGAGAGCAAGGATTATAGCAGCATTCATTAAGTTAAACAACTTCAGAAGATTTGCAGGATATTCTGAAGTCACCTGCATGAAGGTGTTGAAGCCAATGACGATTTTATGGAATAAATTTACCTTTTAGTATTCCAAGATATTTTTGCGTCATTTTGTTAAATATATCTATTAAAATGAGATGTTGGTGTTATTTTGATTTTTGCGTCATTTATGACAGCAATCTATCTATCTATCTATCTATCTATCTATCTATCTATCTATCTATCTATCTATCTATCTGTTGTAACCTAGGAAGGGATACTGAATGAGGAATAACTAAACAGAGGTTGGAAATGAAATGGTAACAGAAGACAATACTCTACAGCTGTGTGAAATAGGCAAAACCTGCTCGTAGTGGACAAAAAGTCTGCATATTACCCCCACTTACAATAGTTTCCAACATATTTACGAGGATTGGGATCTACCCATTAGTGTTCATACGTACGTTATATAACACTATCTATCTGTTCCTTCCTTCCTTTCTTCCTTCCTTCCTTTTATCTATCTATCTATCTATCTATCTAGCTAGCTAGCTAGCTACGCTTTTCTGATGGTTTCTAACGTGCGATGTTAATTCTTCCAATCTATCTATTTATTTATTGTTTAACATCATTACTATTTAGTCATACCAATCCTACCTACCTTTCTTTCATTCTTTCTGTCTTTCTTTCTTTCTTTGAAATGCGCGTCTTTACACTTGTGTTTCACATTAATCTTTTTTTATCTCTCTCCTCTCTCTTGCGAGAGTGAGAGAGGAGAGATTAATAGAAAGAGAAAAAACTGACAGAGAGAGAGAGAGAGAGAGAGAGAGAGAGAGAGAGACTGAGAGAGGTGGTGACAGAAACGGGACAGGCTGTCAATATGAATTGTCTGGGTCTTGCCTGATTCATTCAACCAGTGATATATTATTAGCAATATGAAACTGTAAAGCCATCCACACAGTAACATCTCGATGCAAAATCCCAATAAATATCAACACAAAAAAATGGTCTTTTCACATCTGCAGAGAAGATTCAGATTCCCCAAATCAATTCTGACCAATATATACGATTACTGGAAGGCATATTGTGCGAGTCCACAAACATACACACATTGATTTAATCCATATTCAAACAATAATAAAGTAAGCGGTAAAGAAAAAACAAAACAAAATGAAAAAGCTTATATTCTTTGTCCAAACTCGAACAAACTTTATCTATGTATGGTTTGGTTTGGTTTATTTTACAGGATATCAACCTGAATGGGTTATTTAATGCCGACAAAATTTTCATTGCTGGTTAGATTTTTTTAAAAAAATATACTGCTGGTTATATTTTTTCCTTCAAAAATCTATTTCTGGTAATATTTTTTTTTTTTTATATTATATATATATATATATATATATATATATATATATATATATATATATATATATCATGGTTTAACCCTGCTAAGTAACCCATAGCCGTGGGAGAATAGTAGGCGTAAAAAAAAAAAAAAAAATATTGAGGGAAAGAGAAAAATAAAGAACGAGAAGAAAAAGATATAAAAATGGTTAGGCGTAAACGAAACTGAAAAAGAAAAAGACGAAGAGAAAGAAAAGAATGGAGAAAACTTATTAAAATGCTAAATAAGGAATGCCATTTATAAGTAACATAGTAAGAATTTGGTTTGGTATAGTTTGGTTTGTTTTATGGCATATCAACCAAAATGGGAATATTGGGCGAGTCCACAAATATACAGACATTGATTTAATCCATATTCAAACAATAATAAATTAAGCGGTAAAGAAAAAACAAAAAGAAAAAAGCTTATACTCTTTGTCCAAACTGGAACAAACTTTATTTATGTATGGTTTGGTTGGGTTTGTTTTACAGTATATCAACCTGAATGCCGTCAAGATTTTCATTGCTGGTAATATATTTTTCTTCAAAAATATATTGCTAATAACATTTTTCTTCAACACTGTATTTCTGGTAAACAGATATTGTTGGTAATAACTTTTCCTCAAAGGGATGGATTAAAATCTATTTTTACACTTTCATATTGTTTGGAACTATTTGTTCATAGTTGGGACCCTAACAGATGCTACCACTCCGGGTCAGGGTAGACCCGGGAACATGAGCAATTACGAGGTGGTTCCACGCTCCTCAAAGCCTCCTGAACAGAAGCCATTCTGTCTGATGTAGTTTATGGTCTTGTCCAGGATGCGTAGTTTATCGTCATACCCAGTATGTATGTATCTGAAAAGTCGGGCGTATATATCCACTATAGCAACTTTTGAAGTAAAAAAAAAGCAGAAGAAAACACTATTTCTTTAGAAATACGTGCATATGCAACATTTCATGTTTGAACTCCATTTGTAGACCTGAAGATTGCGTTCAAGCATGAAACAAATTGTCGCCGCTCGCCGTTGACCATAGTGTCCTTTATTCTATTTACATAAGCGCTATCCCTGATATAGGGGATAGACAAAGCAGATTAACACATAAATATAGCGTACCTTAAAACAATATACATATGTGTGATAAAATTTCGTTTTGGAGATTTGAATCAATTCTCATAAATATTCATCGAACCTAGAACAAGAATTCTCAACAGAATGCAGAAAGTAGTTGACGTCCGTTTCGTCCTTTTTGGGTCCTGGCGAGCAAGAGGAAACCAACTAGTCACAAATGTTGCGCTGCTACTCCTAATTCCGGTGGTGATACTTATCAAAGCATACATAACCCACCGGAAGAGGCCCCAAAAGCAACGTGAAGCCGCTCCACCCAGAACATAAGAAGCTGGATCAAGAATAGGTTTATAAGTGACAAAATTTATTTTTTGAAATTTGAATAATTTCTCATAATAATGACCGAGCCTAAAACAAGAATCCTCAACAGAATGCAGAAAGTACTGGGCGGCTGTTTCGACCTTTTTGGGACTCATCAGTAGTGCGCAACCACTACCGAGAATCGATCATTATATATATATATATATATATATATATATATATATATATATATATATATATATATATATGATGAAAAATATAGTTTTAAGGTATGCTATATTTATAAGTTAAAGAGCTCAATATCAAGGATAGACCGTATGTAAATATAAAAGTGGATATTGAATTCAACCCTACCAGTCTGTTTCATGCTTGTTCACAATCATCAAGACATATGTATTACGGGCTCCACTGTTTATATATATGCAGCTCAGTGATGAATTGTTTGTAGTCTATTGTATTGTTGTAATGGTTGTTTTGGTGTGCGTTAACGGTTGTGTTTCAAATTATTCAAGGGGCTATTGAGTGGAAATAAATGTGGATCCAGATTCCGCTTGTTTTGCCATTGATAATGTTGTTTGATAATTTAAAAACCTATTGATTATTTTATTGTCGGTTGTTGTTATTACGTTTACGTGCGTTTATGTGTGCGCTCGTCGTTTGTTAATTTGTTTATTATTTGCTTAATTTATTTGCTCATTTATTCTCGTTGGTTGCTGATTTTAATGTCAAATTTGTTTGCATCTATCTAAGTAGGCCTCAAATGTTATCAAAGATGCTACACACAAAGAAAGTCATCCACTACAAAGCATGCGGCATTTATGTAAAAAATACTACAAAAAGACCCGCAACGCTGTCACATGTGCATATAACAAAATATGCGCCTAGGAAGAGATATTTGAGGATGGATCAAAGGGTGATATTGAGCAAAATCTCAATCTATACATTATCTATCTATCTATCTATCTATCTATCTATCTATCTATCTATCTATCGTAGTATGTTCATATTTATCAATTGATCTATCTCAGTCTGTTCATATCTATCTATCTATCTATCTATCTATCTATCTATCAGTCTTTTTTATCTATCTATCTATCTATCTATCTATCTATCTATCTATCTATCTTAATATGTTCGTATCTATCTATTGATCTTTCTCAGTCTTTTCACATGTAAGTCTGTTCATATCTATCTATCTATCTATCTATCTATCTATCTTAGTATGTTTATATCTATCTATTGATCTATCTCAATCTATTCATATCTTTGTCTGTTCATATCTATCTATCTATCTATCTATCTATCTATCTATCTATCTATCTATCTATCTATCCCAAGATGATATAATGGGAAACTTTTAATACTCTTAAATTTCATTCATATATACATTTTATTTGATGCAATATGAACAGAATACATACATATGTTAACATTCCTGAGATAACTTTGCTTGCCTGGGGAGACACAAAGAAAACTTTTTTTCGAAATTCTGAGCTCTAGTCAATGCACTCTTCACATATCTTCGGAAACTATCTTAATTAAGATCATAAATATGTTAAAAAGACGTGGAATAAAACTTTGGAATATTATCAAAATTAATTTACTATTTTATCATTATTCTTTATTCATTTTTATATTTCATTCAGGTATATTTTCTTAAAATTTGATATCACTATTCGTTTGTTTCCTGCAGTTATTCTTTTTCGGTTTCCTAATGTACTTGGTGTGTAAGGCTTATCGGTCCACTGATTGAACTTGCCGCCTTCTCTTTTGCGTTCACGTTCACGCCGTTACCTTTGTGAGCGGCGACCGTCTGATTCACGCTTATTCGCAATCGTCAAACCATATGTATTATGTTGTTGCTCGACTGTTTATATGTATACAGCTCAGTGATGCGTTGTATTCTGTTGTTCTAACGATTGTTTTGCTGGACGGTAACGGTTATGCTTAAATTATTCTCGGGACAATTGGGTGGAAATAATTGTGGATCCGGATGCAATTTTTGATAGTGTTGGTTGTTAACTTTTTTTATTTATTATTGATTATTTTATTGTTGGTTGTTTTCATTACGTTTGCTTGTGTTTATGTGTGCGTTCGTGATTTTTTAATTTGTTTATTATTTAATTTATTTGCTTTCCATTTAAGTATAACACGAAAAGGCACGCATCTCGATCTTCTCCACCAAGTTATAGGTTAAAAAGCAGCGCAAACTCAGCTCTCTCATAACAATTTTAAATTCAAAACAATCGAGAAACCTGTATGAAGTAATTCTATGCTCTTTCACATGTCAATCCAAAGATAATAAAGGAATTGAATCCGTAGAAAGCCAAAATTTAATTTTGTTAATTTTTACTTATTTCAACAGTTCAGTTTCCGACACGGTAGTTTTAATTTCTTCCCATAGGCCTGTATTGCTGTTATTCTGTTTGACACTTTCTTATAATTTCATCTTCACAATTGAGCATAGATTTTCGATTGGATTCAGAGCAGGACTTAATGGCGACCATTCCATTATCTTCTCTCCTGGAAATCTTTTATCCTCAAAGATTTCACGGATGTGGTTAGATACATGAGAAGGAGCATTGTCGTGCATAAATAGACACTTCACATTCAAACTGCGAGAATGAACTTGTACCATTCAAAAAAAAATCTTATTCATAAAATCGCAATAGTTAGCATTGCCCGCTTTAACTCCTTCATCGATTTCTAATGCTTCAATAATTCTTTGGTCAACAATTCCAGCCCATATTATAACATTATCGTCTCCTTA